AAAACTGCCAGAATCATTTTCTGTCTCTTCGACAGTCTTTACCAAACCATGAAATCTTGGTAGAAAGGCTTTCCTGTGTGTGGAATTGATTCTGCTTATCTGTTATTAGCATAAGAGGATCTTGGTGAGAATTGAAAGCCGCCTGGAGGCTTCTCTCTCACACAATAGGTTTTATCTGTTAACTGTATTAGAATGCGCAAATCTCTCGACCTCTCTGCCCTCTTTTCCAGGGAGTTCCTAGCCTCAAATTACAGTGAGACGTACTACTCCAAAAAAGGGGAGGCGATCACCCAGCATCCTCAGACCACGGTATCTTACGGAACCTTACTACGTCTCTTCTCTCAAACTATTACTTCCTTGTGTGACTGTGACACCCCGCCCTAGCTTTGCAGGCAGCTTCAGGACGGGTTACATCAGAAATTAATCCTGCATTGCCCACCGTCACTGAAGGATCCTAGAATAGAGACTGTGGCCCTCTGAACTCTAAAGAAGGCTGACCACTGCCTAACAAGCAAATCAGTGATACATCAGCAGATGTTTTTTCCTTTACCGCACTGACTCCTATGTACCCCAAAGGGTGTTAAGTCTGGAGGAACAATAAAGCAAAAGGATTAAACCTAAGGACATGAAACAATTTAAAAATCTCCAGCTAACTGACCCTCTTGTGAGTCGCATCCCCTGCCCAGTCCCTTTGATGCACCAGAAGCATCCTCTCCTTCATCCTCCAAATGAATCATGGTTCATTTATCCTCAACATTATTCCAGTGGATACAAGTTCTATTTTTATAACTGTGTTCTCCTTTCTTAGAACATCCCCACTGCAGTCTTCTAGCCAAGGATGATTTTTTTTCACCAAGTATATACTTTTAAAAACGTATTCCCTCTCTTTAAGGCAGCTGTCAACTATGAAATCTAAGTCATCATGCAATCTTTGTAAACTAGAACTAGGGGAAAACTGGGTAACTTACTTGCAGGGAGTGGGTGTTAGTCTCTGAGGGTCTGAGGTCCAGGGCCGTGGAGAGTGTCACACATGGCAGGAAGTGCACAGATGGAATTGATGCAAAGAGTAATTACTTGATGGAATCACATGGACAAAGCACCAAGCAGGGAGTGATAAAGATACCAACTTGATTGAAGCAGGAAGGCAGGAGCGAAAAGCATGAGGGCACCTGGGTGGAGGGTGAGACCTGATTTTTGTGATGATCAAAAACTCCGACTTGATTTCATAGGCAACTGGTGAAAATTTATAATAGCAGCACAGGAGGGGTAGTTCGATAGAGATTTTAAGACAGATTAAAGGAGTAATATTTCCAAGAAAAAGGATCACATTTCTGCAGCTCGCATCATCCGGTAACAGACTGTTAAGTCTGTGAGGGAGGAATCCATACTCTGCTTTACACAAAGTAATCATGCAATTAAAATAAAAGCATTCTAAAGTCGTTTCAAAATCCTCCAGTGAGATAATTCAATGAATGGATGCATGAACGAATGAATAAATGAATGTGTGTAATCTGCGAAAATGAAATAATGATATATTGTGAACATAAAAGATGTAGATATTAGTATTTATGGAGTATTGATATATGTACTTATGTCACTGTTCTCTTCATCTATTTTAGGATCACTGTTTCTACCAAGGATCCATCATACATGAATTAGATTCCGCTGCCAGTATCAGCACATGTAAAGGTCTGAGGTGAGGCACCTGATTTTTCTTCCTTTATCTGTTTTCCCATGACATTTCAAAGGCATTCATTCACTTCTTTTTTTTAAGAACTAAAATTAATAGGAAAATTAATAGAAAATTAATAGAAAAGTTAATGGAAAGAAGCTATATTTTCAGCATTACTGTCCATCCTGGTCCATTTTTTTAACATTTTTTATTGATTTATAATCATTTTACAATGTTGTGTCAAATTCCAGTGTTCAGCACAATTTTTCAGTCATTCATGGACATATACACACTCATTGTCACATTTTTTTCTCTGTGATTTATCATAACATTTTGTGTATATTCATCCTGGTCCATTGTTAACGTTCATTTTCGACACAAAGACATCTAGTTCACAGCCTTAAGCAAGACAGGTTTTTCAGTACGTGATCGAGGGACTCAGAGTTGGAGACCACTGGAAATCATCCAGCCTGTCCTTTCGTGGTGCAGATCGGGACACCACAGTCAGAGACTTGCTCCTGAGCATTCAGTTTGCCAGTGGTTGAACTTGGTCCCCAAACCAGGCCTCCTGACTCCTAGTGCTGTGAATTCCCACCCAACACACCACAACGCCGCACAGCTTGTTGCTAAATTAGGTGACGTTTCCAGTCTCTAGAAAGTAAAAAAGTCACAAGGGAAGCCTCTGTAAGTCCTCTCTAGGTCTTGGACTCAAGGACAAAGGAGAGAGATGTGGGGAGGAAGACGTGGAAGAACAAGAAACTTGCGTCTTCACTTATGAGAACTTTGTTTGGGTGGTTCCCAGTATTCTGAAGAATGAGAAACTCTTTAATGACAAAATTACCCCATAATAGTGTCTGTACTTTCGCATATTGACTCTATGGTTAATGCATGATGGACATAAACATTCACAAAATCTCTGCCAGAACTCTGAGCCTTGCCAGGGGTCCTCAACCCCAGGTGGGAATTGTTGCTCTAACAAAGCTTCAGAGTAGAGATTGGGCCGTCAGACTTCTGAAAATCCATATGAGCTGACTCTCAGAAAATTTATTGAGTCAAAGGCCACATGCCATCCCATCTCTCTGTCACTCAGAACACCTGGCTACATGCTCATAAGGCTTTGACCTTACAGTTTCCCTTTCTTAAAAAGGCAAAGTCCATAAAAGGAATCTGAATAATGCTGTGTAGTAATGTGGTGGTAAAATGGAATAGACCTTGAATATACATCGTATGCCCAATTTCCGCAGGGGGTTCTTCAGGGTGTATGACCAAAGGTTCCTCATCGAACCAGTGAAATATTCAGACGAAGGTGAACATCTGGTGTTCAGATATGACCCCAAGATGCTGTATGCTGTCAATCATTCTTGTACAGAGCTCAATTTTACCAGGACAGCTGTTCCAGAGGGTAAGGCTAAATCCACGGAAGACTCCAAAATGGAAGTGAGTGCTTTGTTTTTAAGTCATCTCTATCCCAGATAAAGTCCCTCTTAATTTCTTTCTGATCTCAAGAGACAGATTATGAGCCCAAATAATGAAATGTATGTGCCAAGTCTGACTCTTCATTGTCTGAAATCTGAAGTGTCCAACCTTCGTTTTTGTTATCTGTTTAGAAAGAGCTCATTCACTATAGTAAAACTCAGTTTGTCTCACCAATTTCAAAGAAGGAAGATATTTACCACCCTACCTATAGATTTATAGCATTAGGACCCTATGTGGTTGGAAAGAATGAAATTTACATCTTGAAATTCCTCCTAGATACTGTCTTTCCTTTCCTTGTATTTCCTGCTACGTTTGGGGGCAGTGGAGGGAGTTGCTGACGATAAGTCAGTTTCCCCCCCCTCTCATCAAGCCAAATATTCTGATTACTAAGATGGGACGTCTAGTGGAATGATTGCACAGTGGCAGTCCTCTGTGTTTTAAGCTTTCCTATACTGGTTTATAGTATCTTAAATTCCCAATAGATGTAGCCTTTAAGATCTATGAGTGGTCATCTTTTTCACACCTCCATGGTCCAGACTGCGTCTGAAATTTACTAGGTGCCTAACAGATTTGTTTTAATTGAATCAATTAGTCAATCAATGATTGCTCAGTTCAGAAAAGAATGATCGAGTGAAAAATTTGAACAACACGTCTCTGCCTTACACTCAGAGAATATGCATGTAACCTGAGGGCACGGCACTGACAGCTGAACACTTCCTGGTACTGGCATTTCACAAAATGAAACATCTGTAATTAGCAACTTTCACACATTTCCTTTGAATTGAGACTGCCACAAAGCGGGGGGTTGGCAGACAAAAGAGTAGAAGGAAGACAGTCAGTTCTGTGAGAAAGTCCTAAGCCTTGCTCTCAACTGTAGATGGGTCGGTTTTTAAATGAGCTTACCTAGTAAGCATTTACTTTGTAAATGAAAAAAAGAATTAAATGTTAAAAACTGGATTCATAATTCTTTATTTACAACTCATATTTAACCTGACAGACTAAACAAAGAATGGAAGGATAATAAAGTATGGAACATTGTTTCAGGCTTACTAAAAGCTGATGCACGGGGTCCCATGTCTTCCTAATAGAGTGGGTTTTATTTAGAGAAAATTCTAGAATTATTAGACATACTTCTGAACCTCACCTTCCTGTATCAATCATATTAACATTTCTTACCTTGGAGATTTTAACTTCAAACGTGAAGATAAAAAATATTAACCATAATTCATTCAGTTTTCCCTGCATTTCCAGAGCATTCATAAAGAAAAGTATATTGAACTGTTCATTGTTGCTGACAATAACGTGGTAAGTTTTCAGATAAACATTTGCCCTCCATTCAGCCTTATAAAACTATAGTTGTGATTTTAAGAAAGAGAAAATAGTATTTTAATCAGGATTCCATTCCAGGTTCAACATCCTGTTTTTTAGCTTCCCCAAAACAGACACACATAAGAGATGATGAGGTCCTTTGGTGGTACAGCGGACTGAGCTAAAGTAGAATCTGCGCCCCCATTATGAACATATGGAAATAATGAACAACTTACAAAAAAGTGAAAGTATGTTCACAATCTATGCTTGAGTTCAAAAGAAAACACAGGAAATCTCCAAGTGCTAAAAATGAGGGAGAGGATCTGCCAAAACAGTAAGTAAAATCCAAAGGGCTTGGAGACACACAAGACGTAGAACAGATTGCGTAAAGCCCAGGGCTGCCCCATCCCTGGAAAGAGAACTGGAAAAGCTCTCTATTGAAACTGCAAAGGGAAAGGAAGCGTTCTGCCTGCCCGCACTGCTGGGCAGGGAACATGCTGTGCATGAGAAAGCAAAAGGCTGTGAAGCCTGCTCATGCGCTGAGGTGGGCACAACGTTCTGCTCTTCTTCAGATACAGCAATGCCAAGCCAAGCTTCCAGCACAAAAGCTGGTTAGTAATTTGGGAAATTGCTAGACCCCACGTCAGAAAGACGCTATAATCACAGTCCAAGATGAAACTAATCACATGAGGAAGACTCAAGCAATATAATGGAAAGGAGGTCCTCCAGGACCGGGGAATGAGGCAGTGCTGTTTCAGATTACACACTTTACAGCAGGGTATGGAGAAACAGACAACAAAAAATAATGAGGTTACAGGGTAAGAAGGGTTTTTTTGTTTTGTTTTTTTTTAACTTCTCTATCAGAAAATTTTAGGTTAATTCAGAATAAATTTAACATAGAAAAGATTTGAACCACATAAATACAGATTTGATCTAATCAATTCATAGGATATCCTACACCCGCAAAATAGACAATATGCATTCTCTTCAAATGCAAACAAAACATTTTCCAAAATTAAACTGATATTTGACCACAAAGGAAGTAAAAAAAAAATTGGAATTTAAAAATAGATGTGATAAAGACCACTTCTTTTTCTTTCTAGCCACAACCAAATGATAAGTTATGATAAAAAAAATTGTTAAACTAAACTTCTAAAAAAATCACCAGTTTGGAAACTAAAAGCAAAATACATTGTCAAATATTAATTTACTACAGAAGTCAAATGTGACATTATGAGATATTTATAAGAGCAAAAAGAAAATATTAGTATAGACAAAATTTTTTAGATGCAGATGGCATAGCAGTAATTAGAAGGATACATGTAGATAAACATTTCTATTAAAAAATAAATTTTATTTATTAAAACTTTTATTTAAAAAATTTTGCTTAAGAAATTTTATTTACTATTTATTTATTATTAATTTTATAAACTAAGAACCTAACTGGAAAACTGAAAACATGAAACACAAACTAAAACCAGAAAAGATAGAAGGAAAAAAATAATTTTAACTGTGAGTAAAATTAATAAAAGTCACAATCTAGAATGAAACAACGCCAAATGATGGTCCCTTGAAAAGATAAATGAAATAGAAAAGCTTCTGACACTATTTATTAAAGAAAAAAAGAAGTACAAATAAAATTAGAAATAAAAGAAAAATATAACTGTAAATAAATAAAACTATAAATAAAGGTTACATATTATTAAAAATATATGTACAACCTGGTGCCAATAAATTTATGAGTAGAAGCATGTAGTGTAACATTACCAAACTGACTTGAGAAAAAGTAGGAAAGCCCAAAAAGAGTATAACAAAATTTTTAAATTAAAAAGGTAATCCACAATCTAGTAACGAATAAAGACACTAGGCTCAGATGAGTTTAAAGACAAATTTTACCAAAATTTGTTATAACAGACAACCCTATCTTCTACGAATTCTCTTGAAGAATAGGAAAAGAGAAACATTCTTCACACATTTTATACAGTTATTATAACCTTCGTATTAGTTATCTACTGCTGTGTAACAAACTACCCAAAACTTAGGGTGGGTCATTTATGCAGTTGCAGTGGTGACCATGTGGAGGCGCCACTGGGCTGGCTGGCTGGTGTAAAGTGGCCTCTGCCACTTGTCTGGTATGTACTGTTGGGTTTGGCCCACGTGTCTCCAGTAAGCAAGCCTGTGGTTTTCACATCACAGCCGGGCGTCAAAACATCAAGAGAGAGTCCAGGCTTCAATGCACAAGAGCTTTTCAGGCTTCTGCCTATAGGAAGTTTGTTAACATCTCATGAGCCAAAGTAAGTCCAGCATGGCCAAGCCTGGAACCGGTGTTGGAGAGACCCACACACGTGTGTAAGTACCTGGCAGAGTGACTCCTTAAGGGTCATCATTGTAACTATGAGGACGTGGATAACAAATCCAGACGAGAAAGTAAAATTACAAGCCAAGTTCACTTACCAATACGTCTTCAAAATTTCCTAAAAATACTTGCAAACCCAGTCCAGCACGTATCAAAAAAAGTATGCATAACAATGGAAGTTTATTCTAGTAATTCACTGGATTTGATAATTAAGAGGACATTTATAGACCTATCAGGGATAGTTTCAATGGAATAGTGGCGTTCAATCAATGAGTAGTAGGTCGCGGAGTGAGTGGGACACGAAAGTAGGAAGGATTCTGATGTAATATCTTTGAGGTATTTAGACATTTAAGATGACAGCAGAGCAATGGAATGTTTCTAAAGGATACTCACAGGATTCAGAAAAGGCATGTCTCTTTTTATTTTATTACGAAAGAAGCTTGACCACTTGCATTTATTCCGGCAGGATATCTTATGTTATTTTCAAGTGTGTTTTATTAGGTCTAAATTGCTAATGCTGAGAACAAGCCCAAGCAGAGACTCCATCTGTAAAAAGGAAACAAAAGACTAAATAAGCTGGAGCGAAGACTCTGCTTTGTCCTCTTAACCTTTTCCTGGAGAAAATGGGGAACCACAATTTCTTGCCTGCTTCCATCACATTTCTGGTTCCAGGATGATCATGACCAACATGGACACAGGAGGACTGATAAAGTTGCCTTTTTTTTTTTTCAATATAATGGTTGCCATGGAGTTTGAATAAGTTCTGTTTCATCAACATGATACACATGGACTCTAAAAGATGCTTATCGGTTGGTTTAATAAATCAACGTAGTGCAATATACTATGATGTGAAAAGGGAACAGAGTTATAAAGAAAACTTTAAAGTAATGCCAAGCTGAAGCATGTCTTTAGAAACTGCTCTATCTAGTCATTTTATATTAACAAGAGAAGTATTTTTGCAGAAGTTGCCCAGATATTTGAGCTCACTGAAAGGAAAGCCAATTATTTTTTTTCTTTGAAATTGCTCATGATGGGAATAATTGTGTTGAATTTTGATTCAACTCATGATTGATAAATGTTGATCTGATGTTTATATTTCCAGTATCACAGGAATAATCATCCTCTCGATAAACTGAGGAGTCGAGTTTGGGGAATGGTCAATTTTGTCAGCATGGTAAGATATGATACAGTTTGAATCGAACTAAAAACACAATGGAAAGAAACTTTTAGGACAGACCTCTGCAGGATTTTTGTGGTAATCCTGACATTGAGACAGCCCAAAACACAAACATTCACCAAGTAGAACTAATTAGCAAAATTCGATTTTCAAAAAAGTCACAGAAATAAATAAATCATAGTTCTGAGTTTTTGGTTTCTAAGTAAGTGACATTTAATATTTAAATAAGTTTCAAATGTCGGTCACTAATCACAAAACTTATAAAGCAAGGTACAAAGATTTGAATGCCCATCACAAATAAATCTAATCTACTATCTTAAATCATTGTTCCATGACCCTGAATAGCAAAAAAAAGTCTTTCAAGCTATAATTTATTGCCCAATTATTTCAGTAAATATTTCAGTAAAACACACTAAGAGGGTTCATTTGTCTAACGTGGAATGAGCTATAGCCTATTCAGCGAAGCAATACTGTGAATTGTACACATCTTTTTAAAGAAGAAAGACACTGTAAGAAAAAACTGCTCTAGGTCAGTGTTTTTTCATTCACCAGCTAAGGGACATCTGATCTGTTTCTAGTTGTTTACTATAATCTTTGGGGTTCTGAATCAGCCCTGAATGTGCACTGAATCCCTGGCTAGGTGAGGCCACCCAGTTTTGCTTTGCAGACATGGGGGAAGCCACAGGGTGACCTCTCTGTTCAAGTTTCACTGTACTCATTTCTGTAGAGTGGGCTCTGTGGCTTCCCGTGGTTAGAACTCCTGGTTGGACGGCCTGAAGTCTCTATTCAGCAAGGACTGAAGGTACAAATTAGGTACCCTGCCTGGGCACAGCCGGAGAAGGCAGCTCTGTAAAACTGATGGAGCTCTTTGTTTGTTGTCTTCACTCCAGCTGACCCACCCTCCAGGTTTCCCAGCCGAGCAGGATCACTGGCTTTGCTTGTAGACTTTCGTCTCTGTCCACCCTTCTCTCAGCTCCAGCACTGCTGGGCCACCCAGCTGTCAGGTGTTTTCACCAGCCCTGCTGGGCAGATAGGGCTGCAAAGTAGTCCCCACAGTGAGTGGGGCTGTCTCAGCCTCCTTGCTGGGTCGGGATGGGAAGGAGATGCCCCAGGGCACTCTCAGTTTCCCAGACAGGCTCTCTGGTTTGGAGAGGCCGAAAGCTACCCCAGGCTTGCTTCTAAACGAATCCCCCTGCCTGGGCATCAGTGGAGAGCATCCAAGCCGAGTACCGGCTTTGCTCTGGGGGTGCTCTGTTCTATGCGCCCATCTCTCAGTTCAAGCTCTGCTTCTCCTGTTTCTTATATTTTGCAATCGTCTTTATTACTACACCAGCCTTTATCCAAATATAAGATTCAACCTCTTTCCTTGGGTTTCCATCTCCAAAACTGTTACACATTGCTGAACTTTTATTACAAAAGACTTTCAGTTCAGACTGGGGGCTCACACCACAAACAATTTAAAGCAACACAGTGAGAAAGTGCCTGACCTTTCCCATCAGAGCTCCTCTTACTGGCCCTTTAACCGCTACAGAACCCAAACTCCAACTTATTTCACTGCATCCTTTCTCCCTTTACTGTCATGATGTCTTCACCCCTTTTATCTCAGAAATTCCAAAGTTCCTTCTCTCCTAAGAAGAGTGAACTAACTCTTGACAGCCTTTCGAATATGTATATCCAAACCCACGCAAGCATTCTGTAGATAAACCATGGCTTTATTTTATAGCATATTTTCTCACTAGAAGAAAATACATGCATAGAATGACAATTTTTTGTCCCCATTTACACTGGCATCCAGTTTTATGAACCGAAAGCCCACTCATGAATACACAGAGTCCAAAAGGGCCAAGGTTAAAAAAAAAACTTGCTCTGGGGGACCTAACTCATAAGGTTTATTCCACAATAAAATCAGAGCCAAAAGGAATGGACATTTAGTACAAGTACGAGATAATGATTTAACTAAAGTTTTAATTTTATATGACATTATAAGAAGCTAGTTCTCATGATTACTAAAGGACCTTTTTGGGTTCTCATGTGGACACCTGGAATTCAATGTTCATATTCTTATTATACCGGTTAAGAAAAGTGAAAAATTAACACAAGGTTATTGTTATAGAAATGATGTGCAATATTAAGCTTCTTCATAACCAGTAACATTCTCTATTCATACTTGTTGAGTGACTTCTCTGTTTCTGTTTTTAACTCAGTGTGCATAGTTTATCATTCATAGTTTGTCATTCATTCATTTTTTCAATCTACTTCACACTGGCTGTTATGAAGTATAAACTTGATGTAACACATAGTTCTTTGTCTCAAAATCTCCATAATGTTTGCTTAAACTGTCTTCTCTTGTCCTGGCATCAAAATATCTATCAACTAGGTGTTTACAAAAGCAGTTGGAAACGGAAGTGAGAAGGCTCGGGCTACGGCTGTTTCTGTCTGCTTTGAGGAATCACTGATAGGATTTCTTATACAACAGAGTAGTTCCAGAACTCAAACACAGGGAGCAAACATGATAGCTAAGCTGCTGGGTTTTGAAAACAATATTACCTCTCTAGAACCTTCTACAGAACCAACTCATGACCTAAAATAGAGAGATGAGTAAAGAGCATTCATTCCATTGTGTGCCACTGTTCATAAACTCACGTTTTTGGTCAGATATCATCTCAAAGCTTTACTAAATTATTTATTCTAAACACAGCCTGAGCTTAGTCCCTGTAAAGCTTGTGATAGTTCAAGGGGAATCAGATATTTTTAGTCAAGTTTCTTTGTTGGTCATAGCAAGTCACCCAATATTCTGCAGAATTCACCCTACATTCCATTTCAGTACAGAACTGTTCGTAAAATGAGGCCTGAACTTTTGCTTACGTACTTCGTGCGTTAAAATTACTTTTTTATGTAAAGGAATGTAGTCATGATAAAGGGTCTTTCCACAACTTGACATTGTGAAAAATTATTTCTCCTTCAAACAGCTTTATAAAACCTTGGACATTCATGTGATGTTGGTTGGCCTTGAAATATGGACAAACGAAGACAAGATAGAAATAGACTCAAATATAGAAACTACCTTATTGCGTTTTTCCGCCTGGCAAAAACTGATCCTTAAAAAAAGGAAGAATTTTGATCATGTTATGTTACTCAGGTATGTAGCTGCTTTATCTTTCTGCCTATCTTAGGTGGATTACTAAAAAAAAGAAAAGAAACCAAATGAATAACCACCAAGATACTTTTTAAAGCAATTGACTTTTGGATGGTACAGAGAGACAAAATGCTATGTGCAGGTACATAGAAAATTTCCAAATGCACTTGTAAATAATCTTTCTTTCTAATAATGATTACTACCAGAAAAGATAACCCTAAAATACCCATATTCCTGGCTAGGGTTCAAACGCCATTAGGTTAGCAAAGCACGTTTAGAATCCACTTGCTTGATTTAGCATCCAGTACTGACTCCCTTCAGCCTTTCATGTTATGCAATTTCAGTTCTCCACTAAAGCCTACTTTTCTGAGAAAGCTCTTCATTTTCTGGTCCTCCTCCCTCAACAAAATATCCCCATCTGGTGACCAGCTCTTCAAGAGCATCTATATTCAAGATAACAGATAATGAATCTGCTAAATTAAACCTGCCACAGCTTTAATATTCCCAAGTAAAGGGTTGGATTTACCTAGACTACAAGGTCATTAATTTCTTAAGGGGGGGGGTTAATCATTTTTGTTTTCAAAATACCTAGCACCCTATTCAGCCTACAGGGAAAAAATAAATTATTATGGAGCTGATCTGACTCAGCTTCGTGTTTCACACAGTCCTGTCATCCTAAGGGGTGTGAAATTATGGAAGAGCAACTTTGGAGCAATGGAGTGTTCTAGCATCCCTTTGGACGTCCTTAAAGCTACTGTATAAGAGTGGTACCCACTCAACCTGCTTCAGCTACCTACAGTACCAGAGAGTCTGCTAAGGTCTACAAACACAGCCTGCAAATGAGCTTTCTAAGAGCATTACCTAAATATTAACTTTCAGTCTGAACTCTGAACCGGGACGCTTCCAAGTCAGAGGTCAGTCCAAGCCTTTGGCAGGTAGATGAGTGAACTAGACTTCCAAATATTATTTCTGATTTTCACTTCCAGGATGGCCCATAACACATACCTCCAAGGGAAGTTTTCCCTGGCTTAGCTTCAGAAATTCATGTACTAGTATGCCCCCCAAATTACAGGGGGCAGGGGGTAAAGTAAAATATCACCATGACCTTCCTAGTGGACGTAGCCCCTTGCTTATTCCTTGGATGTATGTCTTAAAATCCTTAATAAATCAGTCTAGGAATATTTAACTTAGTTTAAGTAGACGGTCTTTTACTTCCGTCAGTGTCTCTTATTCTGAGCAGTAGCTTCACATACCAACTGTATGTCTGCAAACAGGGATGGGGTTGGGGGAGATGGTACGAAATGTCTAATTGGAACCTGTAGTTGGGTTCCTTATATGTCTACCCTCTATATTCGCACAGATCTGGAAGTGATTAGATACCGTATATAGCATTGCCGTGGTGTGACTTTTGGTTAAGTCACCATGAGCGAAGTCAGAATCTAGACTGTACTTTCTTTAGTGCTTCATCTCCAAAGGTGATGTTCTCCCAAGATCTCCACATTCTAGGAAGACCAGAATGCTACGTTCTTCCAAAATGGGTAGTCAAATACCAAGACTTTAAAATATAGGGACAGAAATATTTCAATAGTGAAGAAAGAAATACAGCATATCTTCTTGATCAGAAAAGTTAAAGACTGAAAGGTCATCTAGCCTGACCACCTTTTTTGTATCTGAAGCCTCTCTGTTGTGCTCTAAGTAGGGTCCTCCAGCCCACGGTACCTCTCTTTAAAGTGGTCCAACTCTAAATGTTCTTCCTGAAAGCATATCAGATTTGGACCCCTTTAATATACATATCGACACCTGTCTTTTTAGGTAATCGAGGAATAGACCTGTTTTCACACGACAAGTGTTTCAAATGTTTGATTATAGCTATCAAATCCTCTATGAGTTGCTGTGGTTTAATAATTTTTTTAATCTTTAACCACAGCAAATTAATCATTGTATTGAATTCATTCACTATGTTGCATTTTCTCCTCTGAGCACTTTTAACCTTTTTTTTTTTTTTTGGTCTTTTAAGTGGTTTTATTTAAAGCTGACTAAAGTCACGTTGAATGGACTCTAACCTTGTTTTCTGTTTTGTTTTGTTTTGTTTTCAGAAAGTACTTTTTTTATGATTTCAGCTTAAGATTGCATTCCCTTTTTCAGTGTCTCTAAAATAGCACGTGTTTAAAATGAGCTTAAAAGCAGCTAAGGTCATCCTCAATTCCAGAATTCCAGAAAAAATAAAGGGCACTTTTGTGTGCAAAGGCACTGTGGGGGTTCACTGCAATTCAGTCTTTGTGTTAATTAAACTAGAGCTTATTTGCATCTTGTTTATAGTGGGAAGTGGCTCTACACACCTGTGCAAGGAACGTCCTATCTAGGGGGCATGTGCCTGCCCTATTATTCCTCCAGTGTCGTTAAGGTGGGCTGTGTTTTACTTTTATGTTACATTACTTAATCAAAAAGTTTAAATTTCTGTAATTCTCCATGTCCTATCGAAAGGGACCACAGATGCGTTCCATCATATATTCCCACCAAGATATGTCCCAATGAAACTGTTATGTTTCCTTTATTGAATGGGAAATATTTTATAAAAACTACAGACAAATGATGAAGGTTAAAAACAGTGCTGTTCAGAGTGGAAAAGAACATCACATATGGATTAACATGCAAAGACTAGAAAAGCTCTTTTGCATATTAAATATCGTTACATAGAAGGACATGCGATGTGCACAAAACTTGATGTCTGGTTTAGCAAGTGAAGATAATTGTTCTTGTGCTGATAAGAAAGTGCATAAACCACTTCGAGTATCCTGTCGGGATGGCGAGAAGACCTACAAACTGCTTGTTTACCCGATCTCTTCCCAAATCGCCATGCTCCTAGGAAATGCCAAACAATTCTATCTCAGATATCCTTTAAAGCATCAAGGTTTGGGTTTATTTCCTGGAGTATCTCTGCCTAGTTGTTGCTATGCTCCGCCCATCTTGCGAGACCTTGAACTTAAAAACTTACTGAGATGACTGCCTGATCTAGTATTCCTGGGGTTCTTTTTATAATTATCTCTTTGCCCCCGGTATTTGAGACACATGGATTTTGCATAATGGAGTCAGATGAATCTCATCGAGGCTGTCCACTCCAGTTATGACATTATAACCCATCCAGGACA